AGATTTTACACCTGAGCGCAAAATAGGTGACCCAGAACAGAACAGAGCCATGCTGGACCATACTGGCTCCCAAGCTGTCCTGCTGCACAGCACACCTTCAACACCGTGGCTGCAGCTGCTCTTGTTGTGTGTACATATGTATATGTGTCTCTGCATGTGTGTACCTATCCCCTGCACAGGAGTCTGTCTGACCGCAGCTGTCCCTACCTCTATGTGGGTCTCCGGGGCGAGGCTGACCTCTCTCTCCTGAAGCCACTTCAAAGAGATCGGGGAGGAACGAGGTGCCAGGCCGGCCGGCACGGCTGCTGCTTCCCTGGGCTTTGGGAGCTGGGGAGAAAGGACTGGATTTAAAGTTGGGGGGGGGGAGCTGTATAGTTAGAGTTGGGTGTTTTGCAGGAGGTGAAGGGAGTCACAAATGGGGGTCGGGGGGGTGGGTATGTGTGTGGCAGCAGGGCAGAGACAGGAGGTATGGGACTGGGGGAGGAATGCTGTGATAGCTGAAAGTTTAGTGGTGTGTGTTGATGTGTGGGTGTGTGTGTGTGTGTCTGTGTGTTTTTCAACCTGGACAGACCTTCTGCGCTCTGGTGTCACTTAAATGTGTCAGGTGTGTGTGTGTGTTTGTGTGTGTTTGTATTTTTGTAATACACAAGGCAGCTCACAGTCTTGCCCACAGGGAGTCAGGGGTCCATCTTTTGAGAGCTGATGGCACAACGCGTACACTGCGCCCTCCTGTCAGTCAGGCCAGCTCTGCACCTTATTGTGAATAACACTTTTCCTTAATAAAATCAAAACGGAGGACTTATCAAAAAATTCACCACCCATACAGTGCGTCCAGACCGAAATATGAGACCTATTTTTGTATTTTTAACCTGGCAGTAAATATGTTCATTTCTGCTGTAGAAACTTTTTTTTTTTAAATGGGGTGTGTACTGTGTATGTGACTTCCAGTTCTTCTGCAGCCAGCCCCAAGCGGACCCTCAAAGAACCGCAGGATTTAGCACTTCTGCATCAGATTCATTTTTCATCACCGGAGGTTGCCGCTTGTTAGGATCTTTTCTTCATTCTCTTTCTCACATACACAAAAACATATACAGGGTAGAGCAAACAGAAACCTGACTTGCCCGAAGTTCACAAACATACATCGCGTGGTGCACTTGTGTGTGAGGTCACGCATCGATGAGTAAACCATAGTTAGAGGATCCCACCTCAAAATGTTGCTCTCCTAAAGCTGATCTGACTGACTGGACGGGCTCACTCTTCCATTGCAAAGACTGTGCATAATGATGTCTCAAAGGTGCACTGACTATAAGATCACTTGAGACACAAGTGCCTTTTAAATGGAGTTCATATAGAGAACAACATAACAGTACAATATGTATTTTTCAGAACAACAACAGAACAAGAAATTATAAAGTCAGATACTGACTTTCAGCTCCTTGAGAAGGGGCATTATTATCATGGCTGAGAGAGAATCATCCATGCTGCTTGGTTTTTCAGCTTATCAGCAAATGTTGGCTCAGTAAACTAAGACGAAAATAGTGAATGGAATACCTGCAACACATTTTGCATCTTCTGTAGCTCAAAGCAACACAGAACAAAAAGCACAGACTCAAAAAACATCTAGCATGTCTGTTAAATCATTCTATTATTCAAAATTATGATAACTAATCAGAATACCTTCCAATTTTTTTTTCTGAGCTTACACACGTATGCATTGAATTTGACCGTCATCTTAAATAGTTTATACAACATTGTTGGTTATTCTTGAGTCATGTTTTTGTAACAGTGCAGGACGACTGAGAAAGTTGGCGACTGAATCCAAGTTGTTTTTATGTGCGTATGTGTGTCTGTGTGGGTGTGTGTTTTTGTGTGTGTCACAGGGACACGTCTGGCCACAGCAATGGTAACAGAAGGGCTCCCCTGTGCTGCCTTTTTGCCTTTTTTCCTTTCAAGCTGTCTCTTTACCCCCACCTCCATGACCCCACCTCCACTGCCTCTCCTGCCCACACACACACACACACACACACACACACACACACACACACACACACACACACACACACACACACACACACACACACACACACACACACACACACACACACACACCTTGCCTGGCTGCTGGTTCCTACTCACACTCCCCCGTTCCACTGGGCTATGAGCTAAAGGCCAGCTGATGGCAATATGTGCATGTGTGTTAAGAGAGGCCAGAACAGTACACACATATATTATCTGACACGCTAGGTACACCTGTGTCTGCACTCTGTACCCAGCCATGTCCCCATACCTACACCCTCTGTCCAGCTCCACACTCAGCACCATCTGGGGAGACAGAGTAAGAATAACAGATGAGGGAGGGCATCATTGCACTGCTCTTGAAATAAACAAATAAATAAATAAATATATATATATAAACATAGCTCCCAAAGTTTTAATTGTTTTTTAATTGTAATTGGGATAGAAGAAAGAGAGGATGCACTCCTACGCCCTATGCTTTCGAAGGCACAAAGAGACACTGGGATACTCACTTTTACCCTTAACAACATTAAAGTACATATAAGGCAGCTGATGTCACATCTGCTGTAAAGGTGGTTCCTTTTTGTTACTTCATGTTTCACGTCTCATGTTCCTGTTTTATCCTTCACTTCCTGCCCTCCAAAAAGCACTGGGACTAACAGCTCTGGACTCTGACCTAGCCCAGCCCACAACCATCAGTGCTTGGAAACCACTGACTGTATAAACATGGATGTAGTCCCAGTGACAGCATCCATTGTTTCTGAAGCGGATTTTAGAAGCCAACGGCTGCTGGTCCCCATTTTGGGAATCTTGACTCAACCTAACTTTTGGTCAGCCTAGTAACAGGCAAAGGGCAGGATCTGAGGTGGGCCTTAAGCATCCAAAACGGCTACAACACACACCCCTTACAAAGGGTGTTCCGATAAAGACAAGAGCTATTAAGACAAAAATTATTTTTGTACCAGGCGGCAAACATGTTTATCGCTGCTGTCAAAATTGTCTTTTTAATATGGTGTGCATAGGTGTTTGGTTGCAAACCTCCTCTTTTCTGGTAAGTGTTGCCTCAGCTTTGGCTCTGGTCAGTTCTAACTACTGGGAACAAGCCACAGCCAATTCTTCTTCGCAACTCTGAAGATCATAAAAGGGCGGCTGATAGATGGTGGATTCCAGTTGTTCCAGAAATGGAACATGCACGTGACAGATTGGCTTTAAAAGGGGCTTGAGCACCTTCCCCTTTGCCTCTGTAGAGTAAGTGCACTTACAAAAAAATCCTGTTGTGTTATTTGACTAGGATTGTGGATTTTCTGTGAATCGACATTTTGTCTGATTAATCCAACTTTGTCTCTGTTTCGGAGTCTTGTATCTGTGTTCATTTTAATGGTTCAGTGTGACTGACAGCTGACCCAAAGGATGCAACATCCTGCACATTATTTAAAAAAAAAAGCTTTTTATCAACCACCTCAAAGTCTTAACATTCATGATTAGCTTTTGAGATCTGTTTTGCAGCTGTAAAAAAACAATGAAGATGTTTCAGGATTCTAAAGTTTAGTCTGTGTGCTGACCCTGACCTTTACTTAACTGTATGTTCTTTGCAGAGAAACAACTATTTTTCTGTGTACACAATGCACTTTAAATATCTTAACGAATGGAAAGGAATTCCATATTCCTTTAATACAGTATTTTTGGCCCCACACACCACTCACTGAGTCAGTAGATTGCCTGGAAAAGTGCATGTTATGTAGACTTTCAGTGTAGTTGGTTGGCCTATAGCAGTGGTGTCCAAACTTTTTTTCTTGCGGGCCAAAATTGTCGTGTTAGAATCGCTCGCGGGCCACAGGTTTTGTTTTTTAAAATATAGTTTTAAAAATAGTAAGGCTTTGTAGATCAGAATCAAAAGGCTCGCTAAAGAAACCCTTTAATGAAAGGAAATCAAATATTTAGATTTCTTCGTTCTACTTTATTTATTTATTTTTTCTCAGAATCAAGCCTGTAACGTGGTTAATTTTTTTGGAAAAGCTTTCTGCATTTAGCTCAGGTCATTAAATGGTTAAACAACAGTCCGCTTGTTTGCAAAAACTTTACATATGTTTTTTTGGGGGGAAAATAGTAAAAGCTGTAGATTTAAAAAAAAAACAACAACATACATGTTACTGAACATTTTCAATTTTAGGAATATTGTTCAGCCCGTGTTAACATGAAAAAGAAAAATAAGATAACGTACCAATCTTAATCAAGGCCTCGGGCCAAAATCTTCTGATTCTTAATTTAAAGTCACGGGCCACAATCCCCTCAAGGGCCGCAAATGGCCCTCGGGCCGCACTTTGGACACCCCTGGCCTGTAGGCTAATTTGGCTGTTCTTCAAATAGCAACACCATTGTAGTCCTGCGGTTCTTTGTTTTCCCTGGTTGCCAATGGCCGTAGTGTATATGACTGAAAATAGGTCCACATCAAAGAAAGTGTACAGAGCACTCCTTTACAATTAAAGTTAAAGTTAATTAAAGTCTTTAGTACACAGACTTTTACCAACCTCTATTTACTCCCCTCCTCTTCTCTGTCTCTGGAGATGAGGGTCGTCTTCTTTTGGTAGCAAAAAAAACCCCTCATTGATTGACTTTGTGACTTTTAGTTGCTTAATATATAACTGTTTAGATGTAAATGGGATCAGACCCAGGCCTAACAGCCTGGCTCTCATGCATAAACAGCCCTCACTTACTCTCGCGATGCTTGGCTTAATAGACGGCGGATACACACACGGGATGTTGGAATGGGATGATGAGAGCTCCACGGTGGAGGAGTACCACACACCAACCTGACACCGTTCAAACCGAAAACGGGAGGACAAGACGTGACGGTAGGTGTGTGTGTGTGTGTGTGTGTGTGTGTGTGTGTGTGTGTGTGTGCTCGGGAGCCCGTGCACGACAGAGAGAGAGGGGGGGGGGGGATTGCCGTTTCTCTGTGTGACGTCACGAGTTTTCCTGAAAGTCACAACAACACGTTTGGCTGCGGTACCGGATTGCTTTCGTGTTTTGTCGGAAATCCGTTTTGATGTAATTCTTCACGGTTATTTCTTCCCTGTTGCGTTACGGCGCTGACGAGGGGTTAGCTCAGCATAGCGTTACGTTACCCCACTCATGCAGGAGGAAATTAACTCGTGCGGTTTAACAGCAGGTGCACGGGGATACCGCAACACCTGCCGCTACAGGTAATACTGTTAGCTGGCTAGAAACACTATCGTGATAATGAAAACTACATAATCCCTCTAAAGCTCGATAGATAATGTGTATTTATGCTGTGAAGACGTAAGGTGGAGGGGGGGGGGGGCGGTGCCGTGTTTGACGGGTCACTTGGGTATTAATAATAGTTCATGTTTAAAACTCGGTTAAGGTTGCGTCTTAAGCATCACGTTAGAAGTCACTTCAATGTATTTTCATATAGGAAAGACATTTTATTCGGTCTTTTAATGTTTAACATCCATACGTGTGTTCCTCCCATGCTGCATGCAACATGCGTCAGTTTGTCAGTGACGTAGATGATGCAGTGCTGCTTACTCATTCATGGTTCTTCAGATTTACTAAAATCTATATATATATATATATAGATCACATATATCCTAACAGCTTAATACGTTCACTGTCATTCCACAAGTTCTGTTTGAGGAAACTGTCTACCAGGCTTAGTTTTAGTTGAATTAAATACATTTTAAACTCATTTGAGTTGTTCTCATATGTCAGAGTTATTTGCATTTGAGAAATGAAAGAGGGTTTGTAGGAAAATAACAGGTCTGTATTTCTTAAATAAATTAGTCATATAAGAAACATATTTTTGAGCAGCATCAAACAATCTTTATTTGTGTAGCAATTCATAACAAATGTTATCTCAAGACACTTTACGAAAAGTGCAGGTCTAGGCAGTACTCTTATTTACTTTATTTATAAAGACCCAACATTAATCCATCTTTAGCCCAGCACTAAGCAACAGTTAGCAAAGTAACAGGGGCATGAAAAGCTGCCTTTAAGAGGCAGAAACCTCGAGCAGAACCAGACTCATATAGAAATATGTTGCTCTGCCGTTTTTATGATTCAACGAAACCTAATCAATTTCATTAGCCAAGGAAAGGAAAGTGTACCTTGTCTCTTGTGTTTTTATTTCCATATTTTTGGACTAGGCCTACATGCCTGAGATAAACCTTTTCTTGGGCCAGCAGCTTGATGTTAAGATTTGGAAATGAGTGATTTGTGGTTGTACTAAGTTGAGGCAAAATGAGATGAACTGTGGTGGGCTGATGGGAGGGCCTTTTGGGAACATTTCTTCAAGTCCATTATATTGTAGTAAACTCCTCCCCTACGTATACTAATGCATTTATAGTTATTTTTAATAGACTGTTTTTGTCCTGTAAGAGAGGATGATTTGGTATCAAAGCTTCTTAGAGTGTCTAATAATGCAATTATACACATGCCGCTCAGACGCTCAATGTGTACATTTGACCGATCAAATGCCACCTTTAATACACATGGGGCCTGCGTTTGCATCTTTTGATAACAACATCAAATCATCTTAATTTACATGATAAATTTGGTGGTGAATAAAAGGTTAAAAGCAATGTATGCCATGTTGCCTCCAGAATTCCATGAAATAAATGTTGCCTAGCAGGTGCTTCCCCTGGCATGGTCCGTTCATCATGGCAGTATCTCCATAGCAACGGCTGCCCTGGTGACAAGGGGTTGCCACTGTCTGGACATTTTCTTCTCCATGCCTCTCTTTTCCTATTCTCTTCTCTTCTTTCCACCTTTTCTTTTCTTTTCTTCTCTTTTGTTCCCTGCTCTCCTCCCCTCCTCCCCTCCTCTCCTTTCCTCTCGTCTCCTCTCCTTTTGCCATGCTTGTCCTAATTAAGGGTAAAGCTATCTGAGGCTTCATTGAATTACACTGTAGACTTAGAGCTTAATCCTCTATTGTACTGTGCCTATAAAAAGGATTTGATCACCTTTGATATAATTACAAAGGCTTAGTATTATTTTGATTTTTCTTAAATCTCAATCAGTGCTTATACAGCAGCCAACTTTCAGCTCTTATGCAGAAGTCATTTTTTAAAAATCTTTCTCTCTTCGTTCTCAGTGTGGCAAAAATAATACAGAAAAATATAAAAGTAAAAATAATGATTTATCCATTTCAATATTTATGTGAAATTTTTTCGCCTTCAATTTTTTCTGGTTTCTTTTTCTCTTCTGTGACAGTAAAGACAAAAATATTTAGGCTGTGCATAAAATAAGACAGTTAAGTACATCAGCTTGGGCTTTGGAAATACTGATCAAACCTTTTCCACTATTTTTTCACTTTATAAACCAAAAACCAGTCAATTTATTTATAAAGAGGTTGCATTTAAATTGAAAAAGTAATCACACAAACAGTGGTGTGATTACTTGTGATTACAGTCGTTTTACACTTAAATTGTCTCCAACTACACTAAATTCAAAAACATTTCAATGACAATTTGTCAAAAGTTCAGTTCTCTTCAACATCTCTTCAATTTAAGTACACTTCATCCTTTGTAAAGGGTTAGGATGGATCAAAATCAATTTATCCACTTCTTATGTATCTTGTAGTTGTTGTAAAGAAAAAAAAATGGAATTGAAAAAGGTTGAATGATTTAAAAGGAAACCGAATGAAAGCACGAGCTAAGAATTGTTGCAACCCTTGTAAGCAGGAACTGAAATTGTCTTAATCCTTTATTTGTTCGTCTGGTTTCATATTGGTCACCATTCAGCTGAATCAACATTTAAAAAAAAAAAAAATCTCTGTGTCACTTGTTTGGGTGTGTACGTGAGCATGCCTGTTGCAGCCTTGGTTATCACGCTGCAGTCCCAAAAAGCAGTCCAAGTGTCGGCAGCATTGCAGACACTTGCTGATCCGAATACTGATTTGAAAGCTTGATTTGAAAGCTGCGACTTCTAGCCTACCCACTGTAGTGCTGATCTCCATTCAGGATGAGCAGGGTAGTGTTGTTGCGTGTTGTGTAATACAGTGTAGTAGAGTGCGTTTGAGGTGAGCACGGCAGCTATGCAGAGGGAGAGAGAGAGAGCGGTGAGGGCGAGCGAGAGTGAGACGACAGAGAGGTGCAGAGATTTGAGCAGAGAGAAAGAGAGTGTGAGAGCATCCTTAACTGCCGATGTGGCTATTTATAGCCTAGCCCTACTCCACAGTCCTGAAATGCTCTCCTACCTCCCACATATAGACAGACAAATCAGCCTACACATACGCATGGTTAAACAAAATAAAATAAATAATAATGCAGAAATAAAGCAAGCACAAGGAGATACATTGCCTTTTGCACACAGGACATCATGGTCACCAGAACATCAAAGAAAAAGATCTATGAATGAATGAAAGGGATTCTTGTTTGGCAATCAAGGTCAGTTTTTGCTTGATCAAGAGCTCTGCAATTACTCATCCTGTTTATCAGAGATTGTTGGCTAGAAAGGGGAACTGAGTGTAAGATTCGGTGAGGGGAGAGTGGAGGAAGCATTAGTTCTCACAATAAACTGGTTGTTTGTCTTGTCAAATTGTATAAAAGGGTTTTCGAGGGGGGATGAGGGGAAAGAAGGAGCAGCAGAGGAGCAGGAAATAAAATCCATGCCTTTTTTTCTACTTTCACTTCCTTCCAGGCTGAGTCACTGCTGGTGAGGAGGAAGGTCTGGAGAGGGAACGAGAGAGGAGGTGGAGGAGGTGGTGGAGGAGAAGGGGGAGAAGACGAAGAAAAAAAGGAGGGATTGGAGGGAGATAATCAACAACAGGAAGCAAAACCACACAGCGCTTACACATACACTCTGCGTGTTTGTGTGTCTGAAAGGGAGACTGCGCGAACGAGAGGGTGAACGGGAAAGGAAGGAAGGGAGGGAGAGTGACGCGGAGGCTGGGAGAGCCGCTCCCCCCTCCTCCTCCTCCTCTCCTCCTCTCCCTCTCTTTCTCTCCTCTCCTCCCCTCCTCCCTCTCTCTCTCTGTGGAGCAGGCGTGTAGCGGCATCAGACTCGGCGTGAAGGAACCATGAGCGATGTCACCATCGTTAGAGAGGGATGGCTCCAGAAACGGGGTAAGTACATCCAGTACCTCTCTTCTTCTACAACCCTCCTCTCTACCTCTATAGTCTATCCTCTTCTTCTCTGTCTCTTGTCTAGACTGAGGGCCTGGCTGTGCCGGTCCACATGTGCCGGTGGGAGGATGTGAGTGTTTGCGATTAACTGTGTGTGTGTGTTTGTGATCACATGGATGTGTGATAGTCTAGCTTGTGATGTATACATTTATGCATTTTCCCCCATTGGGATGTCTGGCTTTATTACAAGCTTGGCTGACTTTTTGTTTGCTAAGCCTCTTTATGCTTTTACGTGTCAGCCTTAAAAAGACTGCATGCATGGGTATGTGCATGTGTTATGTACAAGTGTGTGTCCATGTGTGTGTGCAGTTAATAACATTTACCAGGCCTGACGTTATGCACTGTTGGTGCATAGTGTTCCGTCTACCTACTATGAAATCCAGTTAGCGGTTGTCTTTCTTAGGTATTATTGAACCAAGTTGACTTGTAAATTTGCATAAAATCCTGAATAGTGTCTATGAGAGTCACGTGACAGTGGTTGAGGGGTTGGTTTTGGGTGGAGTCAAGTTGGGGGGTGGGGTGGGGGGGGGTGACTGACAGCACATCCTGCCAACAAACAACTGAATGAAAAATAGAAATGTAATTGTTGAAGAGCATATTGCAAAGTGACATTGCACAGACAGTCAAAGCTTATGTTCAGTGTGTGGATGCTGCAACAGGTGTAAAGTCGTTTGGGGCTGGGCCACTCTCATCCATTAAGAGTTCAAATGTGAGATACAGTAGCTTTGTGATGACTTCAAGCCACTTTTGGGTTTTCACGATTTAGTTTGATTTGTTTGAAATGAGAACCAGGATTTCATAGTCGCTTGTGTCTGCTGATGCGTTTTCCTCCAGACACAAGTGTATGTGAATATGTGTGTGTGATTAAGGGGAGAACCCCAAGGACAGAACAAGGGGGGATTTCCAGACTTTCAGGCCAATGAGCATCATCCCTCCTGACTATGTGATGGTTGTCTAGGAATGTGTAACACAAACTGTTGAACAGGAAATGACATGGATGCATAACAGACAGCAGGCTTCTGGGTAATGTAGGCTAGCACTATTGCACAGCAGGAGAACATGTTGGACGACAGAGTGCTTCTTACACAGAGTGCTTCCTTGGTCACACAAAGATGCAGCACACTCTCTGTACAACTGAAGTGGAGGGTGGGATTTTTGTCTACGTGTGCCAGCATGCCTGTGTGATCCTCAGTCGTCTGTGCATATTAAGAGGAACACATCGCCCCCAGTCACGACGCAGTGCTACCAGTGATTGTCAGTGTGTGAGAGAGATTGCAGGGAAGCAGGGGGTGTATGTTTGTGTCAGGAATATGAATGTTTGTCTGCATCATATGCTAAATTATTGTCGGTATTGTTGTGTCTGTGTGTGTGTGTGTGTGTGTGTGTGGAGAGGAGCAGGGTCGGGGTGCTGACTCACTGTTCAGGTCGTGATACAGCATAGACTGCAGTCTTAGTCATTAGACACCTTTTTACTGAAACGACAGAGAGGGAGGGGGAGACAGAGAAGGGTAGTGAAACCTCTACCATCACAGACATACAAACACATACTAACTTTATGTATTAATAATACCATTACATTTGGGTGTTATTTGCCTGTTTGAAAGTCTCTGGTACTTAGTACTGGTAGGTTGTCTACCAATGAATGAGTGAAAAAGTACAAAGATGGACTGGTAAAATTGATTGAAAGAGAACACAGATGAGTTTGGAAATAAGTCTGTATGAAAGTTTATTTCCTCCTTGGATTTGTGTAAGGCTTTTCAATCCTTAAAAGTTAATATTTCATAAAATGTGTATCAGAGGAGCACCTACAAAACTGCTGACTTCTTGTGTATTGATTTACATTTAAAATGTGTATGAGTGGTGATGGATCTAACTCTTTGCTTGTTAGTGTTGGAGTAAGTTAGGGCAATACATTTGATCAATTGTGTTGTGTATACAGGAACATTCTGAAATGAAAATGTTACGTATGTTCTGGATGATTATAAAGATAATTAATATTATCATTGACCAGTTCCAATTATGCAGAGGTTTGTAAGAAATAGTAAGCAGTCATGCAACATATCTAAAGCCTGGCACACACAAAAATATTTTGAAAACGTGGGAGCCCAAACAGTTGGCAAATCATACCGACAGATGTAACAGTTGTGTTCTCAAAGTGTGTGGTGTGCAAGAAGATTACCAACTCGGCACACCACACACAGACTCAACAACCAGAGTCTCGACTCTCAAAACTTGTAGTCTCCAGTGGTCAAACACTATTTAAGAGTAAACAAATGGCAAGCCGGAATTGATGATGTTATGGTATGATACTTTATGACGGTCAAGCTAAATGTGGCTAGCTGTTAGCTACCTGGTACATCCATTGGGGTAACAATTTTTGTGCAACGCCTTTCCTTGTCAGTTCGATGGTGGTATTTTTTATAGGACATGTTGTATAAAACACTTGTGTTGTTGCCACAAATCAACAAGTTGGTCCTCCATTTCTGAAGTCCATCTATCTTTATGTTTCGTGGTAGCTGTTGTTGCCATGGCTGTGTTTGTTGTGCTTCCTGATTCAGTCAGCTTGCTTCCCGATTGGCTATTTTTCTGTTCCACGTAACAATCCACAACTCTGCGGATACTCGGCCGTCCTGGGGTTCTTCCCATTCCTTCCCATTTTCTTCCCAGATTTCTGAATCTGGGTGCCCCCGATCATCTTCAGAGCAGATAGTGGGGGGTCAATTCACTCCTAACACACCTCACACCACAGGAAAATCTGGTGAAATAATCTCTGCAACCATCAGATAATCAGGCCTTTGCTGACTTTGGTCGGAAGGGCAGAATCAGGCCCATGCTTTTGATGTTGCTGTTGCTTTAGAGTACTAGTCATATGTTACTCAGCACAGGATGTTTTTTACTTTGTATGTGGCAATCAAAAGTGTACTTTATAAGTTTATTCATATTATGTCTGATAATAGTGATTTAGCCAAATACATTTATTTTATTGTATTCCTGTTATTCTGTTGTGCTGCTGTGTCCAGACGTACGAGTATAAATTTGGGGCACCTCACAAATAATTTTCATTTGACTTTTTCAGCAACTAAAAAGCAAAGAGTAGAAAAAAATCCAGAGGGACTGCCACAATTTTCTGTTTAAAAGAAAATATAAAAAAAACTGATTAAGTAGCATTAGTCACAACTGTTGTCTAATTTGAGCTGTTGGATGAAAGCTTTCAATCCTAACCCTAACCCATCATGTGAATTGTACTGTAACATTACAAAAACTTAAAGGCAGAATATGCGATTTTTATTGCAATCTTTATTATGCTCGTATCTTCACACTCCATGTAAATTTACCCGAAATGACCGTGTTCTACAAATGCAGTTAAGCAGTGAGTACAGTATGTTATTCTTTTTTTCTCTAGTCCCTCAATTAAACAACTTTTATACGCCGGGGGATGAGCTGGCCGACCGTCCCGACGATGTAAACAAAGTGAAGATATGACTCGGAAAGCATCACAGACAGTGGGACTCGGGTGTCACACTCATTGTAGACAGTCATGACTCACAGAGTTGTTTTCAGAGGATATATTTGATTTCTGCTACATTTAAGTGTGAAAAAAACGCATATTCTGCCTTTAAGGATACTCCTGTTTAATCCCTTACTGCCCATAGTCAATCATCAGTCCACCTCTGATTTAAATGTGTTTTACATGTCACAAAACATCATTTACAGATGTAACACAAAATCAGAACAGATGATACAAAAAATCTTGAAAATTAAGTTAAATCAAGCCTTACTTGTATGTAAGAAAAAAGCATTAAAGCAAACATATCTATCTTCTATCCTGCATGAACATGAAGCGCTCTCATCATCTTGGAACACAGAGACACCCCTGCAAAGTACAGTACACTATGTCCTCAGATGACCGAGGCTTTCAGTACTCACTCTTACTGCCATGGCAATGATTTCCTTCCTCCTTTCATTAAATCAAAGTTGGGAGTGCATTCAGCTGCATCACTTATTTATCTTTGGAAATAATGAACAGGGCATACTAGAATCTGTTACAGAGTCTGATACAAGGTACTAGGCAACACATTAAGAAAACCCTATTAAGGATGACAGATCACAGATGATATTACAGCTGTAGCTTAGTAAAGAAAATGTGTTTTATTTGGGGTTAAAATAAGTTGTTTTTGTCCTTCCAGTCAACAGATGTTACTAGGTTGGTTTCTTGAGCTGTAAACATCAAATTTGTGGTACATTTTTCTTTAATTTGGCCTCAGCCAGGAGTTTACCTTCTGTCAGCCCATGTGAGGCCACAGAGGTCACAGTCAGGCACTGTAATAGAGGATACTGTTACCTCCACCAGCATCAGCCCACACAGCAGTCAGCACAACAGATGGCCAGGAGGGAGGAGAGGAGGAGAAATGCTGAAGGAGACAGGGAGAGCACCATCATCTTTCCTTTGACCTTTTTGTGTCTCCCTGAAGTTTCTGTCTTCAAATCAGAAGAGACATCGTTGTGTCAAAGTGGAAACACTTCTGAAATCTTCTAAGATCAATGATCCTTTGTCTCCCTGGAGGGTTTTAGAATTCACAAGAGATAAATAAGGTAATATATAATAAGTTAATGCACTTCTCATTTTAAATGATTCAGATAATTTTGGGGGGATTTGTCATCTACTTAATGAATATAAGCTATAAGAATTTTTTTTCCAAAAATGTCTGGTTTGTTTAGAAGGCTTTGACAAACAAAAGCACATTTTCTGCATATTAATTTATTTTTTTAATTGCACAGAAATAAAAACGCACAGCTCACACATCCATGGAGACAGAAAATGTGAAGTAACTTTACATTCTCTGTGTTCTTGGGGGAGGGCAGCATAGGTAGAGGAATGAATTGAACTGGTCTGACCGGGGGCACTGAGACACTGGAAGAGGACACAAGAGGTCGGGAAGAAGCCTGTTG